CAAAGCACTGTATTTGGTGGTCAGTAGTACTGGCACGAAAACCCCATTTGGATGCTCAGTTGATCAACCACCCTAACAGGTCCTTCTATCAATCATCAGCTTTGTTAGCACTACATCTTAGCCAGGATTATTAGAACTAATCTGCCACCTGCAGGTGCAGGATGCATATACACATCCAGGCTTAGTTGTCTGCTCTCCAAGTGGGCTCAATATTTGTGCCCATGTGCAAGGGAAGATCAGAACTGGACAGAGTTCTCTATAACACCATTTGCACTTGGATCTCCCTCTTGGAAAGAATATTTAGGCAATCCTCCCTCTCTGCTGCACCGACCAATAATGGATTGGTCACAGTGCTCAAAGAAAGGCCATGAAAGTCAGCACACAATGTTCAGACTGAGGTTCAGTAGAGATTTTCTAACAATGCCATTCCACCAAGCCATGGTCTCAAGGTCTTAGAAGGGATTATGATGTGCTGAAGTGTGTTTGAGATCCTGACTTCTTGAGCTCAGCGGAGTCAGAAGGAGACATGTACAGCAGGCTGCCACCTCTGACTGGGAAGCTAGGGATGGAGAGAATACTGACAGCCATACAAAAAGGACAGAGGTTCTGCAAAGATAGGCTGACCAGGAATAACAGGTTGGTTTGCTGGTCATGGACAGACTTCCTGGATTAAACTGACAGAATACCAATTGAAAAGTATTGTGGCTAGACTTTTACAAATCTGATGGAGCACAACCAAATAACCTCTCCCCACCTTCAAAGGAGACACCACCTTCAGATGCTACAAATTGATCATACAATGCCATTCCAATAATGTTCCCTTCTATTTTGTGCCATCTTACCTGTGCTTTGGTAAGTCCGGCTTGTCAAGGACTCCACAGACGCTCTGGCACCAATGTGCCTTGGCTTTTCACTCTGTACATGCTCTCTTTCCAACGTGAATGCCATCTCCTTAATCTCCAGATGAAGAATGCTTTCGAAAAGGTTTGCCTGATCACCTATAGATGTAGGCTTGTCTTGCTTCAAAAGGGATATGACACCATTGCAGTCAGTGAGACATTGCTGATATTAGCTCATCAACATGTGCAGGTCTTTGACAATCTGAGGCTGGCAATCCATTCCAGCTCCACATCCATGCTTTCACAGGGCCAGGATAACATTGAGTCAAACAGTGTTATATGATTACACCCTATAGTTGGAATGCTTCAAAGATCATGAGAACTAATCCTTTCCTAAATTATTGGAATTCTGTTCCCTATATATGGTTCTGTTATAAGGTAGAACCTACCCCTTTGGGTTGGAATAAAGAGTTGGATCCTGTCTGTTTCTTCAGGGAAGAACAAGTATCTCTTGAAAGAGTCCCAAGTCTGAATCTGTGAGCAATGAGAGGCCAGAGATGAGATGACAGAGGCAGACCGATGCAGTGGCAAGAGAATAGGAGTGAGAAGCAAAGGATAGGAATTCAAATTTTAGCTTTGCTCCTGCTATTTATATGATGCTGGACAAGATATGTAGCCTCTCTGGACCAGGGGAAGGTAGGATAGAGTCTCTCAGTTCTAAAATCTTTTGAGTACTTGACAATGAAGCATACAGGAAAGGGACAGAGAGCGGCCAATAAAATACAAACAGTCCAGGTCTCACATCACTTCACAGACATTCCCAAAACATGTTACTTTATTTACTTTGACCAGCCATCATTGTTATCTCCATCCCACAGGAACCTTGGACTCCGCCACTTGGGTGCCAGACCCTGATCATCGGTAAGCTTTTTCCTTATCTTAGCCAGAACCAAGTTTCCATGGCATGTCCCGGCCATCTCTAAACCATGCTGCCTGGGTACTACCCTTCTCACCACCCCTCTCCTAGATCTTCTATATGTATTGTCTTCTTTCATTAGAATGTAAACTCCTTGAGGGCAAAGACTGTCTTCACACAGCAGTGCTTAATAAATGCTTGCTTGCTCATTCTATCCATCTATCCCTCACCTCTGTTTTCTTCAACATAAATTGGGAAATTATAAAGAGGGAAAGGTTTTTTTGTGGAAGATGAGTTCTATTTTGGGTATATTTTATTTGACCTGTTGGTAAGATCCAACGCAATAGGGGGGACACGGAGGTGAAGGGGAGAAAAGAGGATGAAAGGAGGAGGGAGAGGAAAAGAGAGAGAGAGAGAGAGAGAGAGAGAGAGAGAGAGAGAGAGAGAGAGAAAACAAATAGGACAGAGCCTTGGAGAACACCCCTGGTTGTAGGTGAAGCAACTATGATGCCCAGATGAGACTAAAGGGTAGATTAACAGGTTGAAGGAGAACCAAGAGAGAGTTGTCACAAAAATCCAGGGAAGGGAATCTTCAATAAATGAACAAACAATAAAAATTATTTACAGTGAAGTCTTGAAAAATCAGTATGCCAGAGCTTATTGCCTTTTAATGTTTAAGTCAGGGGACATATCGGTGCTGAAACTACAAAAACGTTCTTTTAACCTACAAGTCCATAATAGGGGGCACACTGCTACGAAAGTCGATCCTTCTAACAATAAACAGAAACCCTCATTTCTAAAGTAATTGATTATTATTTCTCTAGTTAAACAGAAGTAGATGTCAGAAATCAGTAAAATAAAGCTAAGATAGGATTTTATGCACTTTGGTCACTTTTCTTGGCTATGGGGTGTTTTCTTTTAGTTATATTGCAAATGCAATATTACTTTCTTTTTCTGATGTGTTACAAGTTATGATAAGATTAGTAGGATGCTTTTTAATGTATTTATGTTTCTCATTTCCTAAGAGACCAGTTTATGGCCAAGGGCAAAAGAAAGGCCTGTAAATCGGCTTTCTTCAATTTTGACTATATTGACTCTTCATTCAGTTGGAGTGAAAATTCGATTCAGTAGGGTTCTATACCAGGAGGCTGAAGGAAAGATATGAAATTCCACATAACATCTTAGATGACTTTTAAGCAAACAAAACAGAGACAGAAGCCAATTGAATATTCTCCCCTGAAGAGCAGTCAAATCAGGAGGCCACAAGCTTATTTCAACAAGATTGCCATTCCAATTATACCCATTCCTGTACTGTATCAAATTAGTCTACGTCCAACTAAGATTGCAACTATGATAAACAATTAATAAGCAATTTTCTAAAAGACACTTAGCAACAGATATGGAAGTAAGAAGAGTATGTTGGGACAAAGCTAAAAAGATTAGCTTCAAGGGATCAGCCCATTTCAAGAAAGGCAGGAGGTATTTAAGCTACATTTGCATTGTTCTTAGAGCTGAGGAACCCTGGTCAGAACAGCTGAACCCTTATCTGAATTATAGTGTTTATAGTGAATTATAGTATAGTTTAAGAGAGAGTCCCCTATAGCCTGAGGGCAAAGTACTGAAAATGACATAGAATGGCATCATTTTATTTGTGGGGAACCAAATTAGGGGGCTCAAATCATGGAAGCAACTACGGCAGGCAAGGAAAATGGAGTGAGACTAAGGAAGGAATGAGGTGAGAATTCTCAGCAAGGAGGGAAAGGCTCACCAGAAATCATGGGGCAAAGTTGGATAAACTGAGGAACTCCCCAGCCCCGTTTATCTGTGTGGTGAAAGTGGTTCCAGTGTCCTGCTTTCTCACAGAAGATGTGATCTGTAACTAGGTCAGTTCTTCAAGTCTTTCCAGTTTCCTGGCCTAGCCCTTGAGAATCCAAAGTTTACTACCATAGGCAGAGTAGGATTTTTGTGGCAGAAACTATAAAAAAAAATGGGACAAAATAACAATAACATTCATATACCACTTTAAATTTTTAAAGAGTTTTAAAACTGTACATTTTCATAAATGTGTTTTTATTACAATATATAATAGCTTATTTTCTAAGATCTTTTTTAAAATGCAAGGCACTCTGACAAAGCAGGGAAAAATCCCCTCTGCATTCTTCTCAGTAGGATCAGAGAAATACTTTTCTCTTTTAAAAAGAAAGTAAAAATTCAATTTAATTTTATTCCTTCATTTAGCAGCTTGCACACAGGCCTGAGTTCCTGGATGGGGATAAAAAGAAGAGTCCATGTTTCTCCCAACATCCCTCACCACGAACCCTAAAGAACTTAAATATACTAAGGCAGGATAAGACCAATGTACAGACAGATAGAGTCTGATCAAGGTAAAGAACAAATCCAGATAAATTCCTTCAGGAAAGAATAAGATGAGATCAATTTAACCTGACCCTTTAAGGAGAAATTGCTCTGCCTTCACTATGGCTCTTTGAACGTGGACTGGATTGGGAGTTAGAGGATCAGGCCTTCCAAACCTAACCAACAAGGCATTGTAGAGGATTCTGGACTTGGTGTGAGGAAAGCCTGAGTTTAAATCCTAGCCCTGAGACATTTTTAACCCAGTACTCAGCACAGAGTAATTCTTTAAATAAAACAATAAAGTTCTTTGTCCGTCTTTCATCTATCACCTACTAGCTGTGTAACTAAATCACAACCTTTCTGTGCCTCAGTGTCCTTATCTATAAAACAAAGGAGTTTGACTCTATTCCCTCTAAAGATCTTTTCCATCCTTCTGCCTCTCATCTGCTATTCTATAACGCGGGTGGGTCCTTGTATTCTCGTAGGTGAGCAAGTTGGAATGTGGAGTAAGGAATACCTGGGCTCTGATGCCTCTGCTAAGACACTTCCATGCTGTGACTTCGATCGCCTCTCTGTGCCTCAGTTTCTTTATCTGTGAAGAGTGTGTGTGTGTGTGTGTGTGTGTGTGTGTGTGTGTGTGTGTGTGTGTGTGTGTGTGTGTGTGTATGTGTGTGTGACCTCGATGGTCCCCTCTGGCCCCATAACCCTCGCGGGCACTCTCAGCCCCGGGTTCCAACCCCCGCCCTCCGCCCCCTTCCTGCACTACAGGTGAGGCTCCAGCCTCAGCGAGGCCTCCAGGGAGGGGCTGGGGAGGGGCGGGGAGGGGCTGGCCGACGTGGGGGGTGTGGCGGGAGCACGCCGGCCTGGGCGGGGCCACACTGCCCCAGCTTTCTAAGCGGAGTGCGGCTGGCGCTGGCGCTGCGCGGAGTGGACATGGGGCTGTGCCTCCCCTGCCTGGGAGATGGGCCCCAGGACCCGCCAGACATAGTAAGTGGGGCCTCTGCGCCCTCTCCCCCCCCCGACATCCTCCCCCCTCCCAGGCCCAGGAGCGACAGGGGTCCTTCCCAGCCGGTTTGCTAGCCTCCGCCTCCCCTGCGGTCTTCCCTTCGGGGCCCGGCCGGTCTTCCCTTCCTCCCCAGGGTTCCGTCCGGGGCTGGGCGCGATTGCGGCCCCAGTTGGCCCGGGGCGGGTCTGAGAGCCTGGGCTGCTGGAGCCTTCGCGTGCTGGGCGGGGCCGGGGGTGGGGGGGAACGCACGTGCGTGGCCTTGACAATGGGGCTTGTGTGTGCTGGAGGGCCCCCCCCCCCGCCCCTGGCGCGTGAGACCACGGAGGGGGGAGCCTGAAGCCCATTCAGGTGGGATGGTGAGAAAGGGGACAGGCCCTAGGATCTCATTGGTTAGAGAACTGCCAGGTGAGAGCGCGGCCCTACTATGAACACCTGCACCTGCTCTGCAATTTAAGGAACTCCACGGTTATTCGGGCGCTGCCGGGTCATACATTGGCTCGAACGCTGGGTAGGCCTGAATTCATATCCAACCTGTTTGTTGCAATTTCCTCATCTGTAAAATGGGAACAGTTTAAAACCTGCCTCCCAAGGTGGTTGTGAGGATCAAATGCGATAATACTTGCAAAGCGCTTAACACAGTGCAGAACACATAGTAAGTGCTACATAAATGTTAGCTGTTTTATTGTTGTTAATTGTTCTTGTTATCTGGGGCAGTGATGGGTTCCGTGACTTGCCCAGAGTCACCTAACTGGTATGTTATCAGAGACAGGGATTGAATAGTTCTCTTCTTGGCTCTAAAATCGGTTCTCTTCATTGCACCATGTTGCCTCTCTTCATGGGCTCTTACGCTCCCTGCATTTTAGGGATAGGGAGTGGTCTTTTATTTCATTGGTATTGGGTTCTCCCTGGTGAGGAAATTCACTCTCAGCACAGATTAGAGACTTAAGAGTAATCTAGAACTCTGAAGAAGTTCATGGCTTACCCCGGGTACACATAGCCAACATATATGTGAGAGAAGGGATTGAACCCATCCATGTATGCCTAGCTTGCGGACTGCTCTCTCCCCACCGCACCATGTAGCTGAGGTTTTCCTTCCTCAGAAAGCAGCTCTCTTACTTATCCCATGTTGCCCGTCCTCAGATGAGAATAGGAAATGGGGAAAGAGACAGGGAGAGAGACCGGACCTTTCCTTTGGTAATTTATGAAACTCCCAAGACAGGAAACTCTGTAAAATTGCAACAGTCTGCACCTTTTTTGCAATTTCTAGTCTTGGAAAGTTGCCTTGAGCATGGAGAGGTGACTTGCTCAGGGTCTCCTAGCCAGTATGATGGAGACTTAAGTACAGCTCTAACCAACTTGGAGGAACTGCCCTTTCTAGCCTCTGGCAGAGGGAGAGCCATGCTCCTTAAGGAGCCTGGGATTTAGAGGAGACTGAGTACTAACACTGCTTCTGCAGCTTACTGTTGCAGGATCTGGGCAAAACCTTTACCTGAGGACTAAGCCGCAATTTCCCCATCTACAAAATGAATAATAACACCTACAGTACTTGCCTTACGTGGTTGTGAGGATCAAATGGAATGATACGTTTAAAAGTTTTGCAAATTTGCCCATGTGACTTGATGAAAATCATTTAAGCCCTGTGGGGCTTCTTGGAGCTATGATATAAGGGAGCTGAAACATGCTTTGCCTAGAGCTGAGTCTGTGGGTGGAAGTTGAAACGACAAAGACAATTTGAATTTGCTAGAAGAAAAGTGGGGGGGGTAGGCCACCTTCCTGGCAACTCAAGCTGTCACAAAGTATAATTAACTGGCTACGCAGGGCTTAGCCTTGGATGCCTTGGGGGGGGAGGAACTTTTGGTTATATTGTAAAAGGTTATTTGTGGTTTTGTATTTTTTGTTTTTAAATAGAAGTCTGAAGCTGGAAAGGACCTTAGAGACTTAAGTCCAACACATTTGTTTTGCATGTGAGGAAACAGGCCCGAGAAGGTTAATTGACATAAGCAAGGTTACCCAGGTATTAAGTGTCAGAAACCCTGATCTTCTGGTTCCATAATCAGTGCTTCTTTCCATGGTATGTTGCTGGACCAGAGAGTGGTCAAGGTCCCTTCCAACTCTAAAATTCTGCAGTTCTGTGAACCTATGATCTATCCTGGTGAGAATGACAACCAGGGATTTTTCTTGCCTCCCATGCCCCTCTTGAGGGCCATGTTTCTCCCTTTTTCTTTCTTTTTTTTTTTTTTTTGTCATTTAACTAGTTTAGCAACCTGTCTAGCAGTAAAGATTGTTTTGTGTTGTTTGTGGGCATTTCGGTGTTATCCTTTTTTTTTTTTTTTTTGGTTGATTTTTGGCTTGTGAATTTTATCAGGCTCTAGGACCTGGAGTTTAATTCCTATCATAGATTCCATACTGAAATGAACCTGAAAAATCAGCTAGTTTAACTCTTATTTTTACGAATGGAAAACTGAAGCCTCCAGAACTTGGGTCTTGCCCAGAGTTACAGAAGTTGCAAGTGGCAAAGCAGGGGTACAATTCTAGGTCAATCCAACTCTAAAATCCCAGCACACAGTCCTCTGTACCCAGTTGCTTCTCACCAAGGTCTTCTTGGTCATTGGCACAGAGTCCCATGAATCGTAGCTTGGGTAGAAAGGAGTTTTCTTCACATTCATTGTTATTTCTCAGTTCCGTATTTTCTGGACTCCCAGAAGTTTTCACTTAATTAGAAAACTTCTTGGAGTGCTCCTAATGTTACTTAATTATTCTACTGTGATTTCTGGATATACATTTGTATTTATTTACTGTAAAATTCCATATTAAAAAGTGGTTCTGCTTTGCTTTTATGGTAAGGCAGCTGTTCATTCAATATATCCTTCTTTGTGGAAGGCTTTTTTTTTTTGAAAGTATGTTTACATCAATATGTTAAAAGAGGACCTCTAGAAAACTCAAGGGATTTGTTCCTTCCCTGGGCAGAGGTCTCTTGAGAAATCCTTGTGCAGCAGCAGAAGCTTGGCAGTTAAGGGACCTACGTTGTATCTTAAGCTTTGTCACACACTAACATCTGTCCTTGGCACTTAAAGCAACTTTTCTCTTGTATATAGTGTTGTCTTTTGTCTTTTCAGCTATCGAAGGCATCATGGGGGACTTATACTTTATTCCCTATATAACCTACCATGGCAATACATAACAGAAAAAGAAAAGACATAGGGGAGCCAGTAAACATTTTCTGAGAAATAACCATTTTTATACCTCAAAATCATTAACACTTCAAGATTACAAAGAATTTTATGTACTTACTTGAGCCTTTCACAGCAAACCATCCATACCTTAAAGGAATCCTTGCTGTTAAGTACCCAACAAGGAAGGCCTTCATTGAGGAAGCACACATGCTGCTTCCTTCTTTGCTTTAGTCTCTGACAAAAAGTAACAATTCTTACCAAGGTCAGCCCTTCTACTATAATTTAGTAAGCATTTATTAAGCGCCTACTGAGTTACAGATACTGTGTTAGGCTCTAGGGATGCAAAGAGAAACTGCTGTGACCCCCAAGAAATTTACATTCTGGGGCAGCTAGGTGGCACAGTGGATAGAGTACCAGTCTTGGAGTCAGGAGGACCTGAAGCTGGAGTCAAGTCCAGCTTCAAACACATAAAACTTCCTAGCTGTGTGACTCTGGGCAAGTCACTTAATCCCAGTTGCCTCACAAAAAAAGAAAGAAAGAAAGAAATTTACGTTCTATTTGAGCCCTTCGTCTATCTTTCAATTATTCTCTCTCTCGTGCAAGAATACACACACACTTTTGATCTTTTCCTCCTACTTAGAAACATTACAAAACTCTTCCCATTTTGTTAAAATAACAGAAAAACAACTTTATAAATTGGTCACGACATCTTTCTATCGTATTCTGTTTCCCAGTCCTTTTATAACTAAACTCTAGGTGGTGGTTGGTTTTTTTTAAAGCCTCCTGTAACCCTTGTGTTCACTTCCTCTTCCACATCTCAGTTCAGATCTAATATCACCCCAAGATCTCTTCTGCCATTTCCTTCTGCCCACTCACATAGCTGACACACCATTTGAGGGTGGTATAAGGGTCACCTCTTGACTTGAACCTCCTGATTGGATTTTGGCCTTTCTATCCCCTCTGTAGCCCATCTTCTACTAGCCGCCGGAAGTATAAGTCTGACAACACTGGACTTTCTCAAGACATTTCTGGTGACTTCTGTTACCTTTAGGAAAAGATATGAATTCCCCAGCTTGGTTTTTTAAAATCTTTCAGAGTCTGGCTCTAGCCAACTGTATGTTATTCACATTTCATCCATTCAAAATTCCAGGCAAACTGGCCTTGCTGTTCACCTTATACAACCTTCCATCCCCACCTCTGAGCCTTTTCACATACTGTCCCTTCTACATGGAGTGCTCTTCATCTTCCCTTCCAATCCATTTTCTACACTTTGGACAAAGTGATTTCCAAGCACAAATCTGATCATATCACCCCTGCCCACCTAATGCAGTAAATTCTAGTGGCACCCTATCAAATCTAGGATAAAATATGTACTCTTCTGTTAGGCTTCTGAAGCACTTCTTAAACTAGCTGCAGATTTCTTTTCCAGCCTTGTCCTTTACACACCTTCCTATACTCTCTGATCCAGCCAAATTGTCGTCCTCACTGTTCTCACACTAGATATCTAAATATAAAGGACTTTAGTTGGGAGAGAGTTAGGCCAGTGGCAGTTGGGAAAGTCAAGGAGAGCTGCCTGTAGAAGGTGGTACTTCTAAGGCTGGAGGGAAATGAAGGGTCCTTTGAGCCTGGGATATGACAATGTGTATTCCAGGCATGGGGAGAGGTAGAATAGGCCAGCACCTTGGCCCCATGCTAAGGCCCTGGCTCTCTGTCCTTGGACCAGCCTTTTAATGTCTCTGTCTCATTTACATATGTGAACATAAGGCTCTGAGGTGTTAAATAACTGGCCCAAAAACTTACCACTAGAAAGTGTCAGAGCAGGCTGCCCAACTAGAGGGTTTGGTTTACCGGTCCACATTCTTCCTATTGCAACACACTGCTTCCTGAGTTAGCATGGCAACTTGCTGCTCTATTTCCTCAGGGATTTTCATGGTCATTTAAAAAAAGTGTTATCAATTTTTCACAGGATGATAGAAGACTAAAACTTGCAGAAGCTGCAGAAAGAAGGCAGAGAGAGGTGAGATTTGAAAAAATATAATTCTGGTTATTTGGAAATATTTTTGATTGTATCATTGTTATTGTTATGTGAGTGTTAGAATTTTTGTATACAGAAGTTTCCTATCTAAAAAGAACCAAAAAGGTGATGCCCAATAAGTTCAAAGGCAATTAATTACTTTTTAAGAAAAGATTTATGATGCAATTCCTATAAATTGCATTTAAAATAAGATTAAATTGATAAAATATTTTTACAATTGCACTTTTTTAAAGGAATACATCTTGTATAAAATGGAAAAATAGTCATTAACGATTTACTCGGAGCTAAGCACTGGGGCTACAAAACAGAAAAATCAAGGGTCCCTTTCCCTAAAAGAGGTCACACTCTAATTGAGGGAAAGGAAACATAAAGGAGTAAAGTTTCATGCAGTTGGAAGGCTAGAGGTACTTAGTTTCTGACAGGCAAAGCCCTAAGATCTTGGGGAGCAATGGCAGGGCAGATGGTCCCTGTTCAAAAAAGAGAGTGGGTTCAAAGGTCAGAGGGGACTTGGGCTTTGGGACACCACCAGCAGAACATGGGGCTGAGGAGGTGGCAACCCATCTGTGAAGTGGGTGTCTAACGTATGCTATAAATGTGAGTCTGAGATGAGATGCACCAGTCTTTTTTTTCCCTCTCCTCTGGCTAAAACAAAGAAGACAGTTAGTGTCATAATCCTCCAACATTTTGGGGATCCACGATCATTGGTTTTGGTAGTTTCAAATCACAATCCCTTGGTACCTTGACATTTAGTCTTCATGACTTATGACTGAAAAAAAAATCTGGTAGTGCTTAGATTTGTGATGATCAACTTCCTTGAACTTTAATTAGCTTTGACCTCTTATAATTAAACATACATTCTGTCAGACTCTGAGGCATAATAAGCAAAATATAAATAAAAACACATAAATATTTATCATAGCAAACATATGTTAAATGAAGAAATGATTGTTGCCGGTAAAGGCAGGCTTAAAGACTTTGAGAAAAAATGACATTAGTATGTTTGTTAAACAATGATTTGGGTAAAACTAAGCCTATACTTAGTCTGTTTTGGTCAGGCCCTTGAGCTTAGAATGGATTTTGCATTTTTACCTATGATGAAAGTTTATATAAAAATGTAAAAGCAGCAGGCTGATTTGATCTGATTTACCATAGTTTTGGGACCACTGGTCTGAATCCTAGTTAATCATGAGCATTCTTCACTTGGTAAACTGTTACTATAGACATAGCCAAGCAAAGCACCTGGCTTTTATTTTATGGTTTAACAACAATAGAAGTCATTTATATTATACTGATTTCTTTTTCCTAAAGTCATCATCTCGAGGAATTTTAAATCTGCAATCTGTAGAAGAGAAGAGGAAGAGAAAGGAAAAAATGGAAAAACAGTTGGCTTCTGGTGGTCCCTCACAAGGGGGGCTTCGAGTAAGTGTAAAGATACCCACTGAACCTGGAGGCTGGGAACTTAGTTTTATTTTTATATTTTGGTAATTGTATTTCAATATGATTGTTTTCCTTTGTGATTTTATGTATTTTGTGCATTTAAAAACATTCTGATGAAAGTTCTATAGGCTGTGCCAGACTTCTAAAGGGTGACACAACAAAGTTTAAGAACCTGTGACTTAAAGTGTAATGTAACTTGCATACTGGTTTTTCATTTATGGGAAAATTATTTTGAAATTTGGAATTTAAGTTAAAATTTTTTCTTTTCATAGATATTCAGCTATCAAAAGAAAAATTGAAAAATAGTATCTGCCAGACTTGGAGTTGTAGATTAGGAGATAAGATTATTTGAACATGTAAAGAGTCAAGTTAAGCTAATGATGTATCTTTATCTAATAGGAAAACACATATATACCAAGTCAAAGAAGTTTAGATAAGAGCTAAAAGGAAAAGTGGCTTGGATAGTTAAGATTTTATATTTTTAACAAGTAGAAATATTTTTTCAAGCTGAAGTAATTAAAGGCAAGTTTGCTTTTTTTTTTTTTTTAATTTCACTAGTAGAGAGAATACAGCAGAGCAGACAAATCAAAAGTCTTCTATTTGGGACTGGAGTGTAGTCATACTCGTGTAAAACCATCTTCCTAGTTGTTTGTTTATATTGTTGAGATAGAGGACCTAAGTTCTCAAATCATCTGGTATAGGCAGTTCAAGAACAGGCTTACCCAATGATATTTTGTTTTATAACTGATATAATTTAGTTTAATTTTATATATTGCTCTGACTTTGAGTTTCTTGAAGGCTATCTAAACTTTTCTTTGTTGCCTCTTATGTAAATATATTAAAAATCTAGGAATTAAAAAAAAAATTTAAGTATTAGTTCACCAGAATATAATAATCTATTTCATACACTATTGTTTTGGTGATTTTCCTTTTTTTCTTTTAAATACCATTATAGAAGGGTTAATAAAATAAAGCAAATAGGAAATACGTATCTCCAATATAGATGCTTTACTTCATTAAGAATTTTATTAATGTAGGATTTCTGTCAAGACTATAACCGTACTTCACTCATGGTTTCTCTGAATGGATCTTCCTTCCCTTCTAGGACTTTCTCCCCAAATGTATTCACAGATGGGAAAACAGGAAGAGAAGGGTCACCTGCCTTGCCCAAGGCCATGCAACATGTTATCCATGTAGCTCTAATGAAGGAAGCACCTATTCTTGTCAGGGTTAAGCTCACCATGCTGAATGGGGGAAGGGTGGGGGTGGGAAAGCAGGTGTAGTGCAAAGAGCCCTGGTTTGGTAGGTAGATGACATGGGCTTGAATTCCAGATCTCTCTTATTCCCTGTAGGAAGACCCTTGTACCTCACTAAGCCTCCATTTTCCTATCTAGATAGGTAGGTGATGCAGTAGATAGAGTGTTGCAGTGAGAGTCAGGAAGACTTGGCTTCAAATCCCGTTATTTATGAGTGCATAGGAACTCACCTGGGCACATTACCTAGCCTGTCTGAGCCTTTAGTGTGCTTATCTGTAAAATGAGAATGATCTTCCCCAGCTTTCCTTCAAATCTTGGTTCAGATTCCACGTTTTGCCAAAGATCTGTCTTGTCGTTCCCCCTACCCCCCGTCACTGGTAGTGTCTCCCCCTTAGAAATTATCTCAGTGTTGTCCCTCCTGTTAGAATTTGGGCTTCTCAGAGTCAGGAACTATTTTTGCCTTTCTTGGTAGTGTGGTGTAGAACAGCATCCAGCACGTTGGTGGCACTAAATCAACTCTTGATTTGACTCCCTTACAGAATGATTGGGAGAACCTAATGAGCTAACATGTGAGGGCTATACATAGATGATCTCTACAATCCTATAAAGGTGCCAAATTAATTTACAGCCACCATAGCCAAGACAGTTGGGGAACAAGAAATATAAAAGCAGAGAGATTATAATAATCTGTGCTTTCCAAGTACTCTAATCCTCACAAGTGGTCAAAAATGCAATCTTGACCAAGACAAAATGTATCCTTTTACTATCTTAATGGATATTTGTGACTGCATGGGGACTGATTTTATTAACACAATTCCCCTGAGCCTACACTATTTAAATAAAACTATATCTAGTCCCTCAGTCCATGGGCCAAAGTCTTGTCTCTCTGTCTATCTCTATCTGTGCCCATATGTCTCCCAGTTTTTTCAAGTATAGTTCTTAAGATTTGTTACTACAATTATAATCTTGCCCTAGGCTAGGGTTTGAAACTGAACTATATTGATTGTATGCCAGTTTTTCCTTAACTTCCTTATGTCTCCAAGTAGAATGCACATCTTTATCACATGGTCTTATAGCTTTCGTTTCTTACTTTGGTCTGTAGGTTTCTGACTCAAATCCTGAGCAGTATTCCTAGTTCTTTATACAGCTCACCTTGCATTTCTGTGTATGTGATGATTCCTGCTTGTTTGTGCATTATAAATCCAAAACTTCTGTTGTTCCTGTAGATTTATATGGAAGTAATCTATCTCTTTTCATCTTTTTTAGTGGACAGTTTCATAAAAATGTGTGCCAAATGGAAGATAAGACTACTGCCGATAACCTGTGGAAAACTGCAATCAACTGGCGCTTCGTGATGTGGCTTTTGCATATAATACATTAACACTTCTCTGTTTTAATGTGATAAATGATAAGTAAACTGTATACTGGAAATTATTTATTTTTTTTGAGCAGACAGACCTCAAGATGTTTAACAAGAGGGCCAAAACTTTTCACTATAGTCTCTTTATTTTTGCTCAAGTGGCTATCCCGAAGGCAGGGCTTGTATTTGTAACTTCACAGAGATAAATTAGTACCACATAATATTATATTTTTGCTTTAGGTGGTAATGATTAAATCTTTAGTCAGTTTTTCACTTACATTATCTCTTTTATAAAAAAATTAAGTGGACATTTCTAGCTTTGCTGACATATATTATGTTTATTTTGCATTTATACTGACTTAATGTTTAAACCTGTTGATTCAATGACTAAGTAGAAGGAAATACCCAAAAAATAATTTGGGGGGGTTCATATAAAACCAACCTTCCTCATACGTTTTGATTCACTCGATGCTAATTTGTAAGCAAATAAAATATTAAACCTGATATTTTCTGTTTAAATTTTCTAAATAAGTTATGTGGAAATGGGGGATTTTCACTAAGCTAAAATTTATTTGCTGAGTTTAAAACTTGGTCCTTTTGGTACCATAAGAGGGCAGTGCAGATCAGATTTATTTCTCTAAAGACTTTTGTTGTAATTAGATTACTTACGAACATTTGTCAAAGTATGAGCTTCATTGTCATTTTTTAAAAATCTATTAAAGAATTACCATAAGGCAAAGTGTAATTGCACTAATGTGGTTTTCATTTGTGGAAACATTCATGTGGGTATTTGGGTGATATATCCTTATACATCCATCTATACATATATGTTTGTATGTATAAGTATGTATATCTCTCTGGCCAGTATTTTTCCCATACACCACATTATCTTTCATAGTTGATGACTAGCAGAGGACTTCAAAATTCCATGCTTTGAGGAGTACCAACCAATAATCTCACCTCTTCTCACTAGTGGTATATATATCACTATATATCTTTATATACCATAATATATATCAACAGATAATATGTATTTTATATATATATATATTTGTGTGTGTATATATACACATATATACATATATACACACATATACATATATATGCATAAAAATAACTGGAAGATCCTTTCTACATGAAATTAATAACATAATTCAAACTTTATAAAGATTTTGTTTTTTTAGGAACATGCTTAATTTGGAAACACGTGTCCTTGTTTTCGTGGTGGAAATGTAAAATGCCAAAATCAAATTGATTACATATTTTCTTGCTCTAGGGCAAAGGTTCTTAACTAGATCCCTTTGACAATCTGGTAAAGCCTAGGTACCTCTTCTCAGAATAATGATTTTAAATGCATAAAATATAATAAGATTGCAGAGAAACCAATTATATTGAATTAGAGATGAATTTTTTTTCTAAACCATTCAAGTTTAAAGCTGCCTTGAAATCTCTCCATGGACCCCATGGAGCTGAGGTCAAAAATCTCTGCTGTCGGGGTTAGATTCATAAATCTAGGTCACTGATTTGAAAGATGTTTACTTCCTGATTCCTGTGGAATCGGACATAGGAATATATAGGAAATAAGCCAGCACGCTTGGACCAGCTACTTCAGCCGCCACCTTTCAGCCACCTTTCCCCTCAGTATGTTCACATGTTCCTTCCCCCAAAATATACTCCTCCTGATTTCGTTTCTGTCTCTGGCACCACTATCTGCTCAGTTTTCCTAGGTTGCGAAGCTAAGGCTCAGTGTAACCTAACTTTTCGTGTGTAATCTGTACCACATCTTATCTTGCCTCTGTATTCTCACACATCACATCATTGATTTAGAGCTGGAGGGGAGCAGACAGATCATTCAGTTCAAGCCTCTCGTCTAGTTGAGAGAGGCCAAGTGATTTGCTTACAGTCAAACAGGTAATGTGTCTTAGAGCGGGGGTGGATTGAACTTGGCTCTTTCTGACTCCAAGCTCAGCGCACTAGCCACCACCCCACTTTTCCGTTTCCACTGCTGTCTTCCTATTGCAGGCCTCCATTTCTATCCCCCTGGCATGTTGAACTGGCAAACTATTCTTTCTTAGGCATGGATCTGGTTGTGGCATTGCTCACAGTGTTAAAATTGGTGCCTTAGCTTGGCTTCTAAGGGTCCCCCATAACCCTGAATGATTCCATTTCCAACTTTATCTCATAGAGCACTCCTTTACCTACACAGCACTTTCTATCCTCAGCCTCCCCCTGGCTTCCTTCATGCTATTTCCTATGCCTGAAACTCCTGTCTGATCCATCCCCATCCTTTGGCTCTTTACTCATAATTTAAAACTGAATTCTAGTGACACCTTCATGAAGCTTTCTCAGATTTCCCTAATAATAGAGGTCACAGGGATCCCAAGATTTAGAACTGGAAAGGACTACAGACATCAAATGGCCCATGCCCCTCAGTTTAGAAATGAAGCTTAGGCTCAACAGTATTCCACAGCTCTTTCCAAAACATCACTTTAATTATCATTTTGGTCTCCGACCTGTCACTTAATCAGTTTGGTGAATTGCCTATGTAGAAACTCCATTCACCAATGGAACTGGGCTATAAATTAGTCTCAGCAAGTGGCCTGGGGCATTGGGAAGTTAAGGGACTTGCCCAGGGTCACATAAGTAATAAATGTCTAAGGTATGACTTGAACTCAGAACTTCCTGAGTCTGAGGTTGTAACTTTATGTGTCCATACCATCTTGCCTTACCTATGTTTAAAATAAGTAGTTTTATTTAAATCTAATATTTGTGATTAACTTTATTATTTGGGAAACTATTATTAATTAGCTATGTTTCTGAGAGAGTCAAAGCTCCCAATCATAGGAAAATGTGACTAATGAATATTTTTGAGTCACTGAGTTCATGAAACAAGAACCTGTTTGAAGTGCAGGAAATGGCTCTGTTTGTTTCTAAACCAGATGGATGACTTTTATTTATGCCAAAATGACATTAAAAGCATTCCTTATACCAAGGAGAATTTGTTCCTTATCTAAATTTGAATTGACCTTAAAATATTTGGAAAGTAGTTGAGACTACTACTAGATTTCAAAGTATTTAGGACATCATTAATAAAAGCAAATGCACAAAGGTTCTATGATTTAATCAGTTGGGGAAATCACAGGGTGACAATTCTCTTGACCAATGTAGCAGCCCATCCAGGCTTAGGTCCTAGGGAGTTGCTTAAGATAGATAAAGTTTAAGGGATCTGTTTAGCTTCAGACAGCTAGTAAGAATCAGAGGCAAGACTTGACTGCTAGCCCCATAATCACTGTACCCACTATGTATCATGCTGCCTCTAATGCCAGACAGTAAAAGTCTTGGTTAACCATAGCTATGCTTTCAAAAACTGAGTATTAACATTCTAAAAACTACAATATAGAGATACCTTCTCATGATAATAGGGCTTAGAAATGAACAATAAAAACCTCTCCCCATACTTTTTATTTTTTTAAATGGGTTTCTTCTGAATTGAAAAGTGAAGGGAAAAGAACGAGTAAGTAATACCTCTATTTATACCTCCCTCCCTCACGAAACCTAAGACTTCAGAAAATTAAACATTTGGAACTAGAAAAAATCTTGAAGATCATTTAATCCAAACTCTTCATTTTCAAACTGAGGCCCAAAGAGGTCAGGACTTGCTTACTTTTAACAACATAGTGAGAATGATTATTATTAACCAATTATTTGGAGGGATCCAGAGTCCCCCCTTTTTCTGTAGTCCTCATTTCAAAGTTCTTTCTCTTGAAGGACATTATTGATAATGAGATTAGATTAACTTTTAAAATTTTATTCAAACCCCATACAGCTGGGGAAGCCCCCTGTGCTCTGCTCAGTTTTGGGTGGAGATAAATTCTTTGAATAGATTGTCCTAGGCTGGGGGTAACAGATGTAAATTACATAATCAGAGTTCATTAGAATATGTCCAGCCCCTCATTGTAATATTCATTCTGATTAGTTTTTAACTAATCAGAGGTGATTGCCACCTTCAAGAACACCCCTCTTCCAAGGGAATATAAGCCATGAGCCTGCCACCATGCTTGTCTTTGGAATTTGAAAGTGCCACTGACCTCTTATTATTAAGATGCTGGCATTATTAATAAAATGACTAATTACCCAGGAATTATGCCGTATCACAATAGGAAAGTAGCAATTCTTAGATTAAAATCCAAGTCCTCTAGCTGCAAATCCCCTACTTCTTCCCCTGCCACCCTGTGATGGCACAGGTGCCCATTCGAGCACTTCAGAAGAGAAGAATTGGTCATTGTTCACCTACTTAGAGGTCACTGTTGCTTCCAGCTACCAGACATTTAATAAATATTCTTTTAGTGGAAGTGAATTTTTATTGAGAGTTCTAATTCATGTAAAGCTTCTAAATGCAGTTAAGTGAGTAGTTTTCCCTTAAAATTCTGTGATACAGAGTACTGAACTGGGAGTCAGGAGGCTGGGGTCTAGTGCTGGTTCTGCTTCTTATTGGCTCCATGACTTGGACAAATCACTGCCTCCTGAGCCTTAGTTTCCTCATCTGTAAAAGGAATAAGGCTAGATGACCGAAGAGTCCCAGCTGTGTACTATTTTATTTTCTAGTATCTGGACAAGGCATTTTTGTGGGTCCTATGTAAAGCTTCAGAAATTGCATACCTAGAAGACTGGATCTTGACCCTAACATGTTTCACTTGATAAAATTATGCTATGAAGTGGTGATTTCCTGGCATGAGAAATATGCACATTTGCAAAAATGAGTCAATAAAGTTCCTTTTCTGATCTCCCCCATCTCTGACTGCCTAATGTTTTAAAAATCTAGTCTCAGCTCTAATTCTTCATTGCGTTTTTATATTTGAGTTCCCTTGAGACTAATTTGTGGTAAGGGAGATGGCAGAGAAAGATACGTTTTGTGTTGATTCTTGCTCAAATTAAAAATGGAATGTGACATTTTATTCATTGCCAAGAGAAAATAAGTGAAATTCAAAGATTTGTGATTTCAGATATCAGTAATGAGTGTAACTCTTCAAAATGTTATGAAACTTCTTTTGTTTCTTTATTTCTAGAGTTTAAAGCTATTATTTATGGCATGGCTATCTAGTCAGATGGACCAGTTTTTGTTGTTGTTCAGTTGTGTCCGACTCTTTTTCTTCGTAAAGTTACTAGAGTGGTTTTCTACTTCCTTCTCTAGTCCATTTTACAGATGAGGAACTGAGGCAAATAGGGTTAAGTGACTTGCTCAGGCTCACACAGCTAGTCAGTATCAGAGGCCAGACTGGAACTCTGGAAGAGGAGTCTTTCTGAATCTAGGCCAGGTGCTTTGTCCACTGCATCACCTAGCAATCCTCTTACCTCTTCTAGAAGCTGTTAAATGGCACAGTACATAGAATGATGGGCCTGGAGTTGCGTTCAGTTCTAGGCACCCCATTTGAGGAAGGACATTGATAAGAAGGAGAGCAAGCAGAATGGGGAAGATCCTCAAGCTCATCTTCGGCAGATCAGTCGAAAGAGCTGAGGACATTTGTATACCAAGGAAAGGGGAAGAAATAGCGGGGCAGATGATAGCTCTTGAAGGTTGACCATATGGAAGGGGGATCAAACTTTATCTACTCAGCCTCAGAGAACCAAGTAAAGACTGATGGGACATTGCAAAAAGGGAAACTTGGGTTTGATGATAAAGGGGGGAAAAAGCTGTACCCGTTAGAGCCATACACAAATGGATGGGCTGCCTTGAGCGAC